GCAGGCACGCAGGCACGCAGGCACACGCAGGCACGCAGGCACGCAGGCACACGCAGGCACACGCACACGCAGGCACGCGCAGGCACAGCTGATGCGGTTGTAGCCACTCAAGAGCGTAATGAAATGCTGCAAGGCTGCAGGTGCTGCAGCGCCCCCGAAGAGTTCCGGACGTTCTTGTTTCAACTTCCATAGGTCCTTCCCCGAGTAGCCTGAGACAACTACAGTGATAAATGGAATGAACTGCTGACAGCAACGGCGATGCCTTGGTTCGTCTTGTGGACAACCGCAATGTTTTTGGCCTCCTCGCTGTCTAAGATCGAGAAGTGGGCCATGGCTTCACAAAGAATGCATAAACCGAAAGTGAGCTGGAGCCTGAGAAGCTGGAAATCTAGGAATAGTCGCTCACGACTGTTCGAGACTCTTCTCGTCTTTGAAACGGCTGCAAGCGTACTTGGAATTCTTGCACGCCAGGCAAAGAGGACAAAATGGCTGCGCAATGTCACAGGAAGCAGCAGGAAGAAGTCAACTGCCGATTGCAGCAGTTTCATGATACCGGACAAAACCAAAGAGCACAAAAGCTGCTTCGCCCCTCATGACATAGGGTGTCATACGGAGTCCGAGTGTGTCAGCGAGACTGTGGCAAGGCTCCGGGCAGAGGCATTGGAACACTCGGAGCAAGCTCCGAGGCCGCAGAAGCTCCGAAGAGCGGAGCTCATGAGCTGCGGCTGCCGAATGCCGCAGAATGCCGCAGAAGGCCGAGAGGAGCGAAGGGCCAGGGCTTGCGAGGATTCGGGAAAGCTTCGTGCCTGCGCAGATGGGTGCAGTGACGGCCCTGAGGCTGCTGGAATTCTGGGCACAACTGGACACACGTGGAGCCAGAAGCTGCGAGAATACAAATCCTCGTGCTTCAACTCTGAAGCGCCAGTGTGGCCTCCCAAAATGCGAAGAGCTGCTGGCCGAAGGCGTCATTCTTCGCTATGTGAAATCCAGCTGCAGCTGTCGGGTCATGAACCACTCTGCATCGAAAAAGGGACATGCCCCCGAAGTTCCCCAGTCCATGCAGCTTGTGTTCTCTCCGAATGTGCGAAACTCGGTGAGTCGTCACAGCGAGGAATGTGTCACTGAACGATGTGACTGTTCACAGTCGCATCCAGACACCAAGCTGTGCATCCCCATAACTGTCAGGCAGTGGGAAAACTGCTGCTCGAACAGTGATGACCCCGAAGATCGAGCAGATGTAACCCTAACTTGGACTAGGCGCTGCATGCGCATGCCAAACCATGCAGTATGCCACTGCCTTCCAAAGGCATCACGATTGACGACGGATGCTGCTGCAGCATTTCTGCAGCAGACCTCTCAAAAAGTTGTCTTTGTGGCACTTTGTCGAAAGCGGATAGCAATGCTTGGGCCCACGAGTCGTTCTTCAGAACACATTCACAACCTGTGTAAACGATTTCCTTCATTTGGCTACCATAATCTTGCGACTGCTTCGACAAACCAAGTGCTCGATCACCGGCACCCGAGCCGCACGTTGAAGTGATGCAAAGCCGGCAGTGATTGTTGTTAGTAGTTGTTATTCCTAGCTTGGCATCTGCATTAGCTGAAACTTTGCACAGTGTCAAGGAAAGTCACTCCGATGGAGACTTCTCAATAAGTTCTCGGAAGTGGGTACCCTGAGACAGACCTTTGCACCGTCACTCTTATCTTGGAAGGTAGATGTAAGTTGATCAGAATCGTTCTTCTTGGCCCTATGCTGAGTACACACTGCTCTGGAGCATCATATGCCTGCCTCAATCAATGGATTCTGAGGTGTCAATGTGTGTGGTTTGGCCCTCCGCAGATTTCTTTCTTTCGGGCCTGGGTATGCCTGCATGAAGTGGGTGTAAGGGCTCTGCACCACCACAGCGCTGTGGCACTTGTGCCATCGAGTTGTGATACTTGAACATCATGCGACGTGAGAGAAAGAAAAATTCTGTGCAGCGGAAGCGGAAGCGAGGACCCTCCTCGCCTTGCAACGTGTCCAGTGTTGCGTTCTCACTGCATTGACCTCGATCATGTTTGTAACAATGGGCCGTGCAAGGTACATGCAAACACGGAGCTAACATTGCGGTTCATCTACCAACAGATTTGGAGCAGCTTGATTCCTACTGCCAGCAGTGTGTCGCTGAGGCGAACACTCTTGGTACTTCTGCAGGTCTAAAGTCAAGATCGCGGAGGTTTCCTTTCTCGAACCCGCACGAGAAAAGCCAACAAGATAGCCAGGGAAGCTAGAAAAAACATTTCAAGCCGCACCTGCGGCTTGTTCTTCCATACGCCTACCAAGGCATCTGCCCGAACATAGAATCGGTCCTGCCGGGTGATGCTTTGGCGGATACTCACATCTCCGCAGAGCACGCGGTTCTTTACCAGGCCTTCAAAGAAATCACGATTGTTTGGCAGTCTGCCTCAATAGTGGCGTGGCTTGTCAGTCACAGGCGTACTTCTTGACTGCAACGGCCTGTTCGACATACCTAGAGAGAGCTCGCACATTGTTGGCATCGAGGGCTGCGTCCACCTCTCAGGAATCGACAAACGTATGCGAACGGTCGCCAAGTTGCGGCTGTCCCAATGCCTCATCGAGGACCATGAATGGCGGTCGTTGGAAGTCCTGCACCGCGAAGAGCAATGCCATGGCGGCCAGGGTCTTCCTCGGGAATGGACTGTCGGAAAGAGATAACGTAAATGTCATCATTTAGAATTAGAAGCCGTGAAAGACACGAACGGTTGCCGACATGGCCTTCTCATTCTGTGACACACCCACAAGCCTGAAGCGTGGAATCAACGGTACTCCGGTTATGATGCAGGTCACGGAAGCAGGATCAAACACAACTTGACTCCGTTTGTTTCCAACAAGTGTCAGCCATTGCCCGTGAAACTGGGGCTCCATTACTCTCTTTGCCGGTTAGCGCTTGTCAGCACTCGCTCAATGGCAGGACGTCGACTCTTCTTCCGATGCCACGACGTGACAGCTTTGCAATGGCTACTCGTCCAGGACATTCGAGGACTGCAAGACACTTGCGCACTTACCTCAAGATTTAATATGATTTAATCATAGAGCGGCTTCGGGGCGGGCTCTGGTGTAGCAGTCTCGACTTCCTTCGAAGTCGCTACTGCGGCCGCTCTTCCCTGCTTTTGCTGCGTTCGGTTGAAGCATTGTGGGTGATTTTGGAGTATGGCTTCTACGGCCTCAGGGTTCAGGGTTCGGCAGGGCTTGCTTAAATCGTGGGAGCATGGGCAGGATGCAGCAAGATCGGAGTCTGGTCGCGACACCGATCAAACCCAGGACATAGCAGGAGAATCTGAGGCCCTGGCTCACCTCCTGACAGGAGGTGCATGTCGCGGAAGCGCTTTGCCGGGGGCATCGCAGTGAACTGGCAGCACTTCTATGGAATCGGCATAGTCCCGAGAACTGTCCCAACACACTGCAAAAACGGAAAGCTGGACATCGCGCAGCTTAAGTCGTGAAGGAGAACAGGCTGGGCCCAGCCTTGATGCCCCCATTGAAGGGATCTTCGGTGTCCTTTGAGCTCTGCTTTAGGGACCGACTGGTGACAGACTCTTCAACACGTGCCCAGATTCAAAAACTCTGTACCCAGATTGGCCATGCAACACAAATGCACCCAACATCGTACTACTAGTAGTGCATTGAATTACGGGCTTCGTCAGTAGAACTTCTTGCTACATCTGTGTGTGTGTGTCAATTCGCGCAGGTCCTCCAAATCCAGGTAAGCGGAACCACCATCAGCTCCGTGGTTCGCCGTGAGACGGCTGTACACGGGACCGATGGCAGCTGAGATTTTTTGAAAGCACTCCATGAACTTCTCCTCAAGGTCGGATCATGTCGAAGCAGAATTTGGCAGTGACTTCCCTTCACCTTTCGAAGTCCAGACCGGTGCTCTGCGATGACAGCTGCTTCTTACCACCTAAAGCGGTACCCCATCACAACTCCCAAGGAGTCCCCCCTGAATGCACGCCGGCTCCTTGCGGGCCTTTCGCACTGCCTCAAACTTCCCTTCGATCTCCTCGATGCCCTTTCGCGCGACATCCGCTTCGTGGGACGCGGCCTTGCTGTTCAGATGGGATCGAGTGTGAAAGACGTGTCGTCGGGCATGCCGTCTCTGAGCAGTTTTATGCAACCCTTTACGTACAGTCCACATCCGACCTGCACGTTTTCCGCGACGCCTTGCAGCTGCCCAAGTGCCTCTCCAGCAAGTTGATATCGATATCATGGAGCCATGACCGAAACAGATGACGCGGTCGGAAGGGAAGGGTGTGGAAGGCAAAAGAACCCGTGGTTGTGACTTGCTTGCCTTCAGATTGGGGCTCAGCCTCTCTAGTTCCAGGCGCAGCCGCTCCAGTTCGCTTCGATATTCGTCCTCGGACGGCAAAGGGCACCCCCCCACCCAAGCAAATTTCTGGTCTGGGGAAGTTCGGGCGGTTCCTCCAACATCTGCGCGGCAGGGCCCTTGGAAGCGGCGCGCTTCTCCTCACCAGGGTCAAAAGGGACGTCTAAGACACATGGTGACCCCACTGGCTCTGCATGTCTGGGTTCTCGGATTCTCGGATCCCACTCAGAAAGCTTCTGCTGGCAGACAAGAACCAGGACTGCGAGCTCCACGAGCATCCACGAGCTGCAGTTTTAGTTTTGGCGGTCGCAGCCGCTCGTGTGTGGATGTGCATTTCGATATACACTCCCTCTTCTTGCCAAGTAGACCCTTGCACATGCTATCTTGGAGTCCTCCGGAAGCAGAGCGAAGTCGATCACGAGAGGTCCAGCTTCCCCCGGTGGGGAGTTCTGCGTCGGTGCATCAACGGGCTGGCTCTCCTCATCGAGACAATTTGTTGTGGAATCAGGCTCTGCCTTTCGTGGGCTTTGGGCAACCATACGACCGTGCGATGGCTCACGAGATCTCGCTGAAGCCACCATGACATGCTCCGCAAGCAAGGGAGGTGGAAGCAGGACACTACCCCAAAGGGAGCAGGGTCGCAGCACCAGTCCGGGTGCCTCAACCAACTCCTGAAGGGCCTCGCGACCCCCGCGCAGTAAGGGTACCTGACACAAGAGCCGAGGTAAGGCCAGCTGATGTGCCTTGCCTCTCACATACTCTCATAGTCTCATGCCATTGCTGGACAACTTCCGGCCTCGATTCCATCTACATGGCTCTGCCGAAGAATGGTCGACCGAGCGCTGATCAAGCCCTGTCAAGTTAGCAAAAGAGGATCCGAGCGCAACACGCTGCAGTCCACCTGCCTGTTGCTCTGAACCCAAGTCGCTAACCTTGGGCAAGTACCACAAAAAGTCTGAGAAGTCTCAGAACACAACCAGCACAAAGCACTTGTGGGTAGGGCCTTCTTCTCAAGCGCCATCAGCTGCTGACGTAAATCCTGGCAAAATCTTTCAACTGTCTTTCAACTGCTCAAGCGACCTCACAAGACATCCGCTTGCCTTTCCCTGCTGTCGAAGTCCCGACAACTCCTGCATTGAAGGTCACACCGTGGACAAGCCGGAACCCTCGGATAATCTACTGCCTGCCACGACTGCACCTTGTCGCAGTCTCGTTCAGCAGCATGTCCTTGTGCAAGGCGCTGTTCACAGGCAGCAACCTGCAGACGCAGACGCGATGGGCGATCCCGGAAACTTTTTCCGGCTGTGAAGCTGCAGCCAATCCCGTCGCCAGCACCGTTTTGACTTGCGCATCCACCTCTGATCACCTCGGTCGAAGCTTTCAGCTTCAGTCCATCAGCACTCAGCCTACCTATGCCTACGTCGTCTGCGATGAGACAGCATCATCAGCCACAGAGAGCTGTCCTTATCGCAGCTGGCTTTGTGTCCTTCATCTAATGGTCTGTCAGGATTGCCAGGAAATTGGAAAAACGCTGCTCAAGGTTCACCTTTCAAGTCGAAGCCGTTAATTGTCTGGCGGGGTGACGTCGGCCGCTGCCCCGGCCCCAGCTGTGGCTTTTTCCGGAAGAGGGTGTTGGACAGGGCAGCCGCGCACACCCGTGCATACCTGCGTCGCAAACACTTGGCAGCTCCCGAGGCTTCCCGCCAGGTGCACGCCACAAGCGGACAAGCCGACTGGCCAACTTGCGCGGGGGCCCGAAATCTCGCTTTCTCCGCCGGTAGTCTTCTCTTCCGCTCACATGCAATCCGTTAGTTACAAACACGCGGCTGAATTCCTAAATGTCTTGAGCAAAAGAGGCCACAAAAACATGTCCACCTTTGCGTTTGATTTCGACTCTGCACCTACGCCTTCAGAATTCTGGCTTCCACTTTCCTGACGCAACACGGCAGCACTCCTGTGACTCCAGTCTTTCGGAATCGCGTTGGAGACCAACTTCCTGCTGCACACTCTTAAGCCGCAAATTTCAGCATGGCATAGCATGAAAGAACTGGAGCAAAAAAGAGCTGAGGCTTGTTGTTGCTCAAGCTCTGAACAGCTCCAGGGCAGACTTTCTGATGTCACTTCTGAGATTCTGAGCACTCTCATGCACTCTCCCGAGCCATCCCGAGCCTTCTCGCGCAGCTCGGTGACCTGACATCCCCAAGAGGGCCGTGCCAGGGTGCAACCGCGATGTACTTCAAGAGAGGCAACATCCGAGCAGCGATTCCAGCTGGGCATCGATATCAAATTCAGAAATCTGCATCTGGCGCGCCTCTTTTCGAAACTTCGCAATGAGCTCCTGGGGGTCCTTGGTCGCTTGCTCCTCAATGGTCTGCTGGAGCATGGAGATCTCCGCCTGCAAAGCAGAACCGAGCACTTCGGCAGAAGGCAACAGGCAAGCAAGGTTCGAAACGGATCAGCACACACAAAGCCGCTAGCCACTGGCATAAGGTTTGCTCGGAATCTGAAGTCTTGGACTCCCTCCAAACACGGTTCCAACCTTAATGTTGCGCTGGCGCCGCTCAAGCTCCGACATCTGCGAGGAAACCGCTTCTTGCTCACGCCGCCACTCGCCTGGGTGGGGCTGACTGGTTCGCAGAGGGGTGGCTGGCGGCTGGGTTCGTAATTAGGGTTAGGTTTCCTGTCAAAGCCTCGCAATTCGAGTCAGCTCTGCATGGAGGGCCTTTCCTTTACTTGTCCGGTGCATGTTGACCTTTCCACGAATCCCGCTTTGTGACTTGTTATTGTTGCATAGTGTTGCCGCGGTGGATTCTCTTGACGATGTGCAACAGAAACCGAAAATGGATGCTCCGATACAGCAGCCGTTGCCCACAGCGGCCTCGACAAAACGAGACCATAACAGTCCACCGAACTGCGAAATCGCACTCCTGTCCCAATTAAGTTGCAGTGGAAAGCAGTCCTTGGAGGAGGCCCCGTGACAGCGCCGTCTCTTGCGGCGAGAGAGGTTGGAAAAAGATGCGTGCGTCACTGGAACTTTGCATCAGAGTCACGCTCGAGCTTTCTCACATCCTCCACGCCCATAGCGCGGCTCAGATTTGCAAAGTGTCCAGCCTCGCATCCATGGAGGGAGCTATTGCTGGACCCAGAGAGAGACGGGTGGAGAAACAGACGGAACCCACAATGATGTGATGAAGGCACGACCGGGCGAAGTGATGCATTGCCCTCACGGCTAAGGCTCCTGCTACGGCCTCCGAAACCCGCGCCTAGCAAGGCAAACAAGAATCTGTAGGTCCGGGGCAGCCATCCACAATGCAGGGAATCAGGCACACCGACCCCGGATCATCGTGCCCTGTTGGTTCCGGTAGCTTTAACTTTACAAGGGCTCAATTGCCATTTCAGAGGCACAGTCCGAACAGTGCGCTCTTCGAAACCGTACCACCTGAGATGCTTCTCGGGCCGCGTGGTAGCAGTGTATCCTATTGCTGGACTAATTTTGGCGACGTCCTCTTTACGAGAACTCCGATAACAGCGACGTCGCTGGAGATCGCACATGGCCCATTATTGCTTCGGGCATACTTCAGCTTGCTTGGGCTGGGGGCCATGTTTCTGCCACCTCGCCGTGATGGAGGCTGCTACATTCAGGAGTTTGAGGAATCACTTTGCGGATGGGCTCACAGGCTAAAGCGAGCTGAACACCATGAGCGTACAAATGCCTTATTTGCCGTGCTGCGTGTCAAATGTATCCATACTGCTGGGCTCAATGGTCCATCAACATGCGAAGGTTGACTCAGATTGCGAGTACCGATGGCCAGGGCTTTGGAAGGGGTTTGGGAGCATGCACACGATATCGGGAATGTACCTCTTGAAGCATCTGATGTTGCTGACGATCTTAGAACTGCCCCAGTTGTTGCAAGCAGTGTAGCATTCCTGCCGGTGACGTGGTGTTGAGCGCATGCTCCCTTTACATCATCGGGCACGGTCCCTCCACCAAAGCGGTCTCGCATCGTCTGCCGCACTGTTGCTCGATTGATGCCAGGGTCTCACTGCAGGAGGGTTTCATGCAATTCCCAGCTGGCCTTTGGAGGTTCGGCTCGCATGTCAGCCCTGAATATTGAACCGTTTCCCTGCTAGCTTCGTTCGGCCCGTAGCGGCTTCAACTTACAGTTGCTTGGTCATGCTGACTGACGGTTCCACGCAATGCAGGCGCACCTTCACAGCAAACATGTGCAAGTGCACAAAGCGTCAAAGTCAAAACAAATGTTTGTTTGCTGATGTTGCTGTGTTTCAGCGCTTGGCCTGCACAGCATGCTCTGGTGACTACATGAAACCTGCTGACAGCTAGCTTCCGGATGTCATGTCAAATGTCTCCACCCCTGTTATCGCCCTCAGAAGTCGCGCCTCGACTCTCCGCTGCTCTTCACGGAGGCGCGCCTGGCAGCTGCTCGGCTGTGGTCCCTGCTTACCCTGGCCCTCCTGCTTGGCTGCGTCTGGCGGATACCTGAAGCCCTCCCTCACCTTCCGATCAAGCCGAGGCTGCTCCGGGCCGTTCGAGATTTTTAATGTTTCAGCCTCAAATTTACACAAGGCGTAGATTCAATCGGTTTGACACAGTTTTGTCTCCTGCCACTCCCAAACTGCATTTAGGGTCAGAGGAAGGTACGGAAAGTCTCCACATGTCCACATGTTCCGCCGGCCCGGTCCTCTTCAGCCGCCAAGCGTTGAGCTTCAGGCTGCACGGTGTTGAGCGACGCCTCCACGGCACTGAGCTCCCCACGTTTCTGCTTCAACCTCAGTGCTACCAAGAAGGAGCCGACAACCCGACAATGGTAATGGGATCAGACTGACGTTTCCATGGAAGAGACTGAGGTTGTCGATGCAGCTCGGTCGCTCTGCGAACTGGGGCCGTCGCTCTTCTTGGCAACGCTGCAAACGCATGGCCATCTCCTGCAGGTGTGCGGACTGGGTGCGTGACGCCCGCTCGGACATGCTTCGGCTCCCCTGGTACGGATGACGGAATAATACAACAAAGTCTTCGCAGAGATAGGTGGCACAAGTCTCAATGCTCAATCCTCAATGGACATCATTCGATATTAGGTAAATTGGCCTACCTCGTGCGAGGTTCGCATTCGGACAACGGTTGAGTTGATCTCCTGCGCCTTTCCCTCGACGCGGCGCAGATCAAACTCCAGTGTGGCCTTGGACATCGCCGAATAGAAACCCGCAAATGTAAGCTTGATACCTGTTTCACACAACTTTGATGCCCTGGCAGCCCTTGCGAGCTTTGACTTGACGCCAAGGCGCCATTTCGGAGCCACCCGAGGCCTCCAAGGAATGGATCCTGCGAGGCACGCACGAAAGTGAGTGCCCTGCGGAGAGCCCAACTTGGGCTCTTCGGATCCAACCCAACGCCAACCCTTTCTGCATCTGCTGTGCATGCTGTGCCAAGTGGCTCAAAGAGTCGCTTGTCGATCACTTCAAGCCGAGACCGGGTTGCCTCGCCAACTGAAACTCTGGTGTTACCCATGGCGGCATCGCTTGCACGGCGAACTCTGGCGGTGCCTCGACTTCGGTCAGGTCAAAGCGCGTCGCACCTTCCTGGGTCGCATCAGAGTTCACCTGGGAGAAGCATGGCAGAAGCTCATGCCAGCTCCATCGATGCATGGCTCCACCTCTTGGTGGCCCTTGAAAGCTCAGCGGGGTTCAATGGCATGAGGCCCTCACCGACAGGTTGCCGTTCTTGGCAATGGCTTCGCCCGCCAGCGTCACAACCTGAAGATGCAGCTGGAGGAATTGAACCTATGGCCCAAGAACTGTGAAACTGGGAGGGCCGAAAGCTGGGAGGTCTCTAAACCTCGCAAGGGCCGATCTGTGAGCTGCGCACCTTGCAGGTGACCCCGAGCTTGCGGGCTTCGTCGAAAGCAAGGCGCCGGCCGTCGGCCATGGTGTCGGCCTGGTCACACGGTCTGCGAAACTCAACTCGATGGGGAGGTGCATACCACTGAGCGAAACAACATCGGATTTCACAGAAAAATGATTTCGTCAGGAACAAGCTGAAACTGAAACGAATGCCATCAGGGCCTGCAGCCTCTGAGCTGAGCATAGCAGAGGAGTGTACATACATACTCCTGGTCTACATGTTGAACTTCTAGAACGGACTCGGACATTGAATCACGGAAGGATAGCAGGTGCTAATGCAAAGGCATACTTTCGAGATTTCACTCCAGTTCAGGGGTCCGGACCACAACAACATCTCCCAGCATGAAATCGAAAGCTCTGGCAAACTTCTCGTCAAAGGCAATGCAATGGAGAGCAAGGCGCAGTCCTGGTCAGGGCAGACACTGTGAACAGCAACCATGTTCTAGAACAAACGGCCTCTTCTCTCTTACTTTGGATCCAAGCTCCTTTCTGGCTGTGGACGAGACTTTGCAGACGCGGGTCAAGGCCGGCAACGCGAAGATCCGTCATGGGCAAGAAGGTCATTGGAGGCAGCATCCGCTCCTTGAGGTAGCGAACACAAGCCTTCGCAGTGTCGCTGCTGTCAACGATCACCGCATCCAGGTATCGCGTTAGGGCCACATTCACTGCGACGTGAAGGCGCTTTTGCGAGGGCTTGCAGAGATCTACAACCCGGCCACAAACTCCCGGACAGGCCTCTGCCAGGCTTGTGCACACCTGCGACAGCTCACGGTCCTTCTCGAGCTGACGTTCGGTGGCTGTGAAGTCCTGAATAACAGTGATGAGCTGCTGCCTCTCCTGCTGCAGCTGATCTTTCTCATCACCACGATTGCTGATGGAGCTCCGCAGCTGTGTTAGCTCCCTGAGGCGGTCATCCTTCAGAACTGTGCCCCGATCGAGTGCAGCCTGCGCGGACGTCTCGGCCTCACACGTCGCAGTCGCACGTGTAGCTCTGCGTCAGTTGATGCACGCACCTGACTCGATTTTTGGCTTGTGCCTCGTTCAACTCCATGACACGCTGCTTCAAGTGGCCCTTGCGTGCAAGAGCGTCCCTCTGGTCGCCCTCTGCTTGAATCCGCTCGGCACCTGAGGCGAGTTCGAATCACATTCCGATCTCGTTCACTCTTGCCTCGACGCATCGTTGAGGCCCCCACGGACCGCACGAACCTGGTGCTCGATCTGGCGCAACTCATCACCACTGGCCGCCGTGATCTTTTCAGTGGCGCGCTTCACACGCTCGAACTCCTCAAGAGCTGCTTCAACCCCGGTCTAACTCGGAAATAGAAATCCGGCTATATGTTGACTGTGCAGTGCAGACAACCCTTCGGGTGAACTTCATGCTTCATGGATGTCCTCAAGCTGGTCTGCTGTGAAGGCTACCTTGCGCTCCGCCAGGCCCATGTTCAGGCTCTCCTGTCGAGCCTCCAACTTCGCCTCCTCCACACCTTGCGACTCCCACACAACACACACACACACACGCGCACACACAAGTGCAACTCTCCGAGAGCAGTGCGAAGACTTTCCAGCTGATCCTGGAGCTTGCTCTGCCTGCTCACTGCCATCGGGGTTGTTCTCAGGCCGATCGCTTTTTTTGCCTGCTGACTGTGACTTTCTCACTACTTGTATCAAATCTCAGAGGGGTGTGCCGCAAGAAAAGCCCGACCACTCACCCCATCGCTAATCTTCCCAAAAGCACGAAAATCAAACACCCCACTCCACCATACTCCACCCCCCTTTGCCCCTTCTCTGGAAGGTAATGCCATCAGCCCAAACCTCGCCCCCCTTCACCCCGCCATGGCAAGACTAGCTCTTGTCTCCTCGGACCAGAACCTGGCTACCATGCAGATTTTCGTTCATAGCTCCAAGGTTGCCTGCGTCCGTCTTGCTCGGCAGAGTGAGTCATATCCTCCAACCTGCGACAGGCGAAGTTTGGCGAAGTGAAGCTTTTTCCTAGTGCACTGGCATGACTGTGCAACTCATTGGCAGGCCTGCTCTTGGAGTCTGAGATTCGGTTATACTCTGCACAGGACTAGGGCTAGGGATCTCTGCGGCCCGCAGACCCGCCTCTGCTCCAGAAACTTCTGGCGGCTTTGGTTTGCCACTCGCTCGGGATTCAGACGCCTTAGACAAAGAGGGCCTTGAAGGTACATCACGAAACTGCCAACTGGGTCGAAGACTCCACCTTCACTTTCAAGCCGCTCAATTCCTTCTGGACCTGCTCGCTCTGGCTCTGCTTCTTTCTCGCTTTCGTTGATTCTTCTTTATTTCTGTATTTGTCTATGTCTTTCTTTCTTTCTCTGTCTATGTCGTTCGTTCTTTCAGTATGTCTTTCTTTCGTTTCTCTTTCTTTCACCAGGCTTTCGCTTCTTCTGCACAGCCAAAGGAGAGCAGAGCGCGCTCTACCCTCCCTGCGGTCTTCTGTTCTCTCTTTTCTTTCTTTCTGCTCTCTCTCTCTCTCTCTNNCCCCCCCCCCCCCCCCCCGCGCGTGCGCGCGCACTGCCCTGGGTCTTGCTGTGTGAATCAGTGTTTCATAGCCTTTGGGTTGCAATGCTTGACCCCGCCCATACCCTGTAGGAACTTTCTGCCTGGCCTCAGCTTATTGCTGCCCGCACAACTCTATGTAGTGCCGGACTGCAGACTTTCAAAACAACCTACTGCCTTGACAGCCTATGTTTGACTGCTCTGCTCCGGACAGCACCGAAAAGGCGTGAAACTGCACTCTGAGGCCCCCGTGTTTGGTGTGTACAGCATGGCATGAACTCTCAAGACAGTGCTCAACCTCCAACATCAGGGTCGCCGAAGTGTGCCGCAAGCTTTCGCTCTTCTTCTTCGCCAGGGCATGAGGGGCG